ACCTTATGATGAATTAATATTTGAAACCGGTTCAGTAGTTTGACAGATTATTTGTTACAAACATACAAATCTTGCCTCTTTATAATATTAGTATAGATAGTTAGGATATGATAAGTATTTAATTGATGAAAAAGATTTAAAAATAAAGTAAGTAATAGGTTTATTTGATTATATTTGTAAAAGTTACTTAGCATTTGTGCTTAACAGTGATACGTTATTCGGTATTTTTTTAAACAAAAAAAAATTGGAAAATAATTGCCATGATTGCCCTACTGGGAGTACTCTTCATTCAAGCTTTACACTACCAATAAAAAAGGGTCGATCACAAAGTCTTTGAAGTATATGTGAACGCTTTAAAAGAAAACTACAAAGAGAACTATAAATTGATAATAAATGAGATTGCTATGGTGCTCTACCTAACGTTATGAAAATTTTATTATGCGCCTTTACTTTAATCAAATATTATAAACTTTGCTTTGGTGATTGCATAATTATTAAATTTAGTGATCTAAGGCAGTTGCCACCATTGTCCAAAACAATAAACGGGAATTACTGCTTTCTTCAACCTGCGACATAAACGTCATTGATTGGTATTGTATATAGGGTGATTAAAAACATTTGAAGTTAACTTCTGGCATCTACATATTGGGTTTCTGTGAATTATGTAGGTATATCAAATTATGACGTCTAAGATTGTGATATACACAAATGCAGTGTGTATATCACAATCTTAGACGTCCGGCATTGACATGACAATGCAGCCACTGCCAATTTTAAATAGTCGACGAATAAAAGTAAATGAATTTTATATTTACTGCTAAACTATTAAAAAAAAACATAAACAAAAGATGACTTTTTGAATAAGTGCTAGTTTACTATAAAATTTACATACATTAGAGATATTTATGTAACGACTTGATTTAACTTCACATATTTTTGCGAAGGCCCATCTGTAGTCTTGAACCCGCTGGTAAAGTCTCTATATGTCTTAATAAATCAATCTTTTAGACCGACGTACTTAATGATTCCCGCGATATTAATTCCCTTACTGAAGTAACAAGACTACGGTATATACCGTCTTAAAATACTAACTAACTAAAAAGTGTGAAATAAAAAAGGTAAATTTAAAAAATTCAAAAAACCCGACTGCTTAATTATACTTCAAATAAAAACTGAAAAGAAAAAAACAAGTCCAGTAGTCTATAATTCTGTTAATAAGGAACTAAGCTACTTTAACAGTCGGGACCCACTGATGAAAAATATTATGTATTCTTGAATATCTAATGGGTCCCGACTGTTAAAGCAGCTTTGTTCCTTATTAACAGAATTATAGACTACTGGACTTGTTTTTTTCTTTTCAGTTTTTATTTGAAGTATAATTAAGCAGTCGGGTTTTTTGATTTTTTATATTTACCTTTTTTTCATATCCTTAAGTGATAAGGGTTGTCCACCTGTAACGTAGTGTTCAGAAACCTACAATGTGCCTTCGCGCCAAAATTCAAACTATTGGGTATTGTAACGTAGTGTTCTCATATGGGTTAGGAGGAATGTTATCCCAGGAAATTGATGGAACACTACACATCCCTAAAAACTTTTTTTGGACAGTATTTATTTTTTTATTATGTAGTATTAAGAAATACATACAACCCTTTATTTTCACTCTTCTACTACCTGCCCCTATTTTTATGGCGGTACGAAGTTCGCTGGGTCAGCTAGTGATTTATAAAGTTTATAAGTTTTAGTTTACCTAAACAAACCACTAAAAAGGAGGTTGAGGGTGTCGAATTTTAACGCGTGGTGCGAAATAGTAAAGTCTAATATTATGATACATGGGTCTTGACGAAGTATTAGTTATAAAATCACCTTGTATGAAAAACAAAAATTGCTCTTAGAGGTATCCTAGGCCTATACTTAGTGAGGAGAGTGAGGTCTAGGAGACGGCAACAAGACCGGCTCTTAGTCTTTATCGACGGAGACCAGCGGGGTCCGGATCCTGCATTGCACAGGATGCAGGATACCTGATGCCTCGGGGCATCCCCATGATGGGTGGGTCCGTTCAAGTCGGACACTCACTGGTGAGGTCGCGGAAGTATCCGAAAGGGTTCCCGTGGCCTCACCCAGTGCCGTATTCTGGATGACCGGGTGGTGGAACAACATTCCACCTCCACTAAGGAGTATCATATCGCGCCAAACATTTAAAAAACATTTAAAATTAATTTTACTAGAAATGCAAAGGTTAGGAATAACCACATGTGGTCGTATGGTAGCGGTTTCTACCGCTTTCTAATAGGTGTGTCACAATTTGTGTGTGTTAAATTCTGATGGGTAAATATTAATTCAGAAATTCAATATTAATCTAAATACTAAAAAGTAATAACAACAGTAATAATTAATAATTTTTGCTGAATGATAATATTATATATAGTTATATTATAATAACTTATCAATAATAATTTAATAATCTTTTTAATTTAATAAAAATATAATCTAATTTAATTCTCCTAATAATAAATTAATCACGTCACGTCGACGTCGTTTCACGTTACGCGCTTTCTAGGCAGAACTGAAAACCAGTGCGTTTTTGCCTTTTTCTGTCGTTGCGGCACACAGTTACATACCTAGTAATTAATTGTTCTATTTTTTTACTTGAATTTGTGTGCTGTACTGATGGGAATAAATGATTTATCTATCTATCTATCTATTCTCGCTGGGCGGAGTGCCGCCAGATGGTGGATCATTCGCCCGGGGAAGACATGGCCCGTCGGTGAGGTGAGGGGCATCGTCAGGTTTTTAGTGGGTAGGGCCCCCCTTGAGAGGTCAACGGGTAGTGGTCAACGGGTGGGCGAGAGGAGGAGCGGAGGAGTCCCACATAACCTCGCCGTACTCCCAAGGCGGTGGGGTATTTATTAATTTATTTATACTTTATTGCTAAAAAATACAGCAAATGGCGGACATAATGCCATAAGGCATTCTCTACCAGTCGATCAGTAGAAGCGTGAGAAATAAAAAATACGGGGGCGAAATAAGGACATATGCTAAATAAATCAGGTAGGTAATATATATAATATCAATAGAATACACAAATATTAAAATATATATGCTATATCTACAATACATACATAAACATACACATAATTATGCCAGTCAAATATGAGAACGCAGATTAATTATATTAAGATAATGCTCACGAACCAATCCCTTAAATACAAGTTGGGAGCTTTACGTATATTAGGGTGTGCGTAACGCATTTTCCTGACGTAAAAAAAAAGACCTATACTTAGTGAAACATAAACCGGGATGGGGGGGGGGGGGGGGGGGACCGCAATATAGAAGACGTTCCAGACATCAGTGGCTTTACTTTTAAAATTAATGGAGTAGAAATTGACAACCGCTGGGTAGTTAAATAAATAAATATAAATATTTCTAACACTCACACCAATTAGCCTAGCCCCAAAGTAAGCACTATAAGACTTGTGTTATGGGATACTGGGGTAACGGAAAGAATACATATATATATATATATATATATATATATATATATATATATATTTATAGGAATACATATTAAACATCCATAACCCAGCGTGCAAACCACTCGGCCACGGAGGTTGTCAACAGTTCCATAAAATTCAGTTGTTTTGAGAATATTTTACGCGCATATAAACGTCAAATTCTCTCACTCTATTAAATCAATAAAATTCGTTTGCAAATACATACATAAATAAAGGATCCGACCAAGCCAGTTTTGCTTTAGAAAATGAAAATGATGAAGCAAAGATTCGGATGTGGGAGGTACCCATAATGCCATAATCGCTTGCGGTAGCGGCGTAGTAAAAATTCATTCATAGAAATGTAATTATCGCTGTCTTACTTTTTCGTATAGCGCTGTCGCGATCACGATGCGGATGACAAATTGCAACTAAAACAAATGCAATTCGATTCATTATTCAATCAATGAAATGCTCTCTGTCTTACTTTTGTGCGGCGGCCCGGATTGGCGCGTCCGACGCGAAGGCGGGGCGTAGTAAAAACTACTGTAGAAAACTGTTCAAAGCATTTTGTTCGCGACAGAGCGCAAAATTCCGCGATAGTACATAATTAATTCAGAGGTGGAATGGCGAATTCTTGGATTTCCGATTCATGAACGCTTCCCCACCTGTGTTATCTTGCGGTTCATTTAGAAAATGCCTAAGGAGTATATTTTAATCAGCAAAACCTCGCAGATAAACTTACAAACCCAGCAAAAACTACACTTTTTGCCTTTTTTGAGTTTTATCGTACAGATAATTTTGCAAAAACCCTTTTATATTTAAATGTAAAGAAAATATAACTAGAAAAAATTCCACGCGGACCAGGCAGCAGACGGGACTCGAACCCGCACCCTTCACAATCCGGGCGAATGCACTGACCAATTATGCTACCGCGGCCCTCACGGACCACGTCGAAATTCTTCTAGCCATTCTTAATCTGCAAGGCAGCGCCATCTCTTCGCATTATAGGTAACCCAAAATGTCAAATGAATACTTTTACAAGTATTAAACATTTGAAAGAAGAAATAGCAATTATAGTTATAATTTTCATTATTTTAAAGCATGCAACTGCTTAATGTTTAAATCTAAAGAAAAAAAAAGGTTCGAGTCCCGTCTGCTGCCTGGTCCGCGTGGAATTCTTTTTTCTAGTTATATTTTCTTTAGATTTAAACATCAAGCATTTGCATGCTTTAAAATAATAAAAAAAAATTATAAACCTTTTATAATATCAAATACATACTTAAGTAGGCTTTACGTGCCTTCCGAAGCAATTTTTGGGTGAGTGACCAAAAACTTGCTTGAGAAGGCACGTTCAGCCGTTGGTCCTGGCTGCATTTGCAGTCATTAGCACCCACCAATTCACACTGGTGCCGCGTGGGGGATACTGCCTAATCTCCGTATCCCAACCATAGGGAAAGCTTGTGCCCCAGTAGTGGGGGCATTAATAAGCTGATGATGATGATATCCCACCTGAAACTCGAGTCCATGTTTCTCCCTGCAATAGTCCTTGATGCGAGGGTAGCATTTGGCCATAAGCGTGTTCCTCTCCATTGTAGTATCTATAACAACAAAATAAATTATCAGATTCAAAGTGTCTAGTCTAAAATATTAATTTTTTGAAGACATCACAGAATAATACATTGAACATACATCTATATATTGACCAATGCATAGAATAAAGTTACTTGAAAATGTTATTTATCAAACTAGTGGCCCGCCCTCGCTTCGCTTCGGTGTAGAGCTGTAGTGTAAACTATAGTTTTTGTTCTCAGGCTTGTGCTATAAACAATAACTTTATTTATATAATTACACGTGTAATTGTGAGTCAACCATAAAAGATAGACATATGCTGTTGCGGGATATTTTTTAGATAATTTTATGTAGAATATTTCCGTCATACATGATTTCTATGTAACTTTAACGATTAAGGCTGCACCCGCGACGGAAGCTTAAAAAATGGAGTAACTTCTCCCGTTTTCCCAACATTTCCCTTCACTACTCTGCTGCTATTGATTGTAGCGTGATGAAAAGTATACTATAACCTGCCCAGGAGTATGAAAAATAATTGTACTAAGTTTTTTTAAAATCCGTCGAGTAGTTTTTGTTTCTATAAGGAACATACACACAGACAGACAGACAGACAGACAAAATTTTTACTGATTGCATTTTTGGCATCAGTATCGATCACTAATCACCCCCTGATAGTTATTTTAAAAATATATTTCATGTACAGAATTGACATTTCTACAGATTTATTATAAGTATAGATTACTTTTATTATACTTTTAGGCGAAACGGACGCATATATTTTACTGGTAAAAAGATTTATTCTAAAACTTATATAACTTCGAAAATAGCAATTGAATAAAGGTACATGTGATTTATGTTTCCGAAGAATATAGAGCCAAGAGCACTAGTACCTTTTGGATAGGCAAGAAAGCAGCCTGCACGACTTCAATTTTTTTACAAACTGAGACTTTTTACTAAATGTTTGATTCTATTTTTCTTATTTGCCATATTATCATAATGTGACGCGACAGAACATACAAATTTTGAAAAACAAAGTTATATCTTCACATAATATTAACACGTTTCCCAAGCTTAAGGTCTGATATGCATATATAACATAAAGATGTCCGTAGTAAATTGTCACATAATCACATAAGATACTATTAAATAACAAAATATGAGCCGTAAATGTAGATTTTTTTAAACAATAAATGCGTCTGCCCTACGCTCCTTCCTAACTTCGAGCAGCCTGACATGTTGCTCAAAATTGATGTCAAAAATGCATTCAATTCGGTAAATAGGGATACCCTGCTGACAGAAATAAAACAACATATACCTGAAATATACAATTATCTTCTTCTCAGTTACGCTGACCCAACAAAATTGTTATATCGTTCTAATGAACTGTCCTCGGAAGTAGGTTGGCAACAGGGTGATCCCCTTGGGCCTGCAATTTTTAGTTTGGCTATAAATCCGATAATCAAAAATTTAAATTCTAAATTCAATGTTTGGTATTTGGACGACGGAACCTTAGGAGGTGATGTGGATACTGTGTTTTCGGACCTTTTTTTAATCAAAAATAAATTTGAAGCCTTCGGTTTGGAGCTTAATTTTAGCAAATGCGAACTTTTTATAAATAACAACGACTTAAATTTAAATGACGTTAAACAAAAATTTAATATTTTAGCTCCAAATATTAAAATAGTTAACAGTAATTCCCTTTACCTTTTAGGTTCTCCAATTTTTGATGAATCTATTTCTGAATATATTAATAATTCAATTAATAAATTTCAAAATTCTGCCGACCGTCTCCTTGAAATTAGTCCACATTATGCACTTTGCATCTTAAAATTCTGTCTTTTTGTCCCAAAATTTACGTATGTGCTCCGTTGCTGCTCCTTTTGGAATCACTTAGATCTTTTGTCAGAATTAGACGACTTAATCAAAATTAACTTAGAATCGATTCTTAATATGCAGCTGAACGAGCAATTTTGGACCCAAGCATCCCTACCCATCCGTTATGGTGATTTAGGGATTCGCAAAATTTCCAGTGTCACTTTACCAGCCTTCCTATCTTCTGTCCATAGTTCAGCAAATCTCATAAGTAAAATTCTAAGGGCATCCCCTTCAAACTTTGAGATTGCTGGTTTGGAAGAAGCTAGAAACGCTTTCTTAATTGCATGCCCAGGTCAAAATTTTCCAGTTTCTCCAAATTCACAGAGGAGCTGGGACGACATAAATTGTAAATTAACTTATAATAACCTTTTCAGCTGCAGTACAGGTTCGGCGCGTGCTAGGCTTTTGGCCGTGGGTACGCATGAGGCCGGCTACTGGCTTCACGCGTACCCTTCGACAAATACAGGCACATTTCTTGAGCCTGACACACTCCGAATGGCAACCTGTCTACGGCTTGGGGTCCCGGTCTGCGCTCCTCATAAATGTCCCTGTGGCAGTGATGTCGACAAGCTAGGACATCATGGACTGTCTTGCCAAAAAAGTGCAGGCCACTTCTCGAGACACGCCGCACTTAACGATATCATACGCCGGTCCCTTGCCTCCGTCAACGTGCCAAGTCTACTTGAGCCAACTGGTATTGCAAGAGACGATGGTAAGAGACCGGACGGTATGAGTTTGATTCCATGGAAGATGGGTCGGGTGCTGGTATGGGATGCAACCTGTTCAGACACGCTGGCCCCTTCCCATCTACATGGAACCAACAACAGAGCTGGTGCGGCTTGTGAAGCGGCTGAAAAAGCTAAGGCAGGCAAATCTAGGCTCCGAATATGATTTTGTCCCATTCGGTGTCGAGACCCTTGGTCTGTGGGGTCCTGGCGCTATAAGGCTTTTTAAAGAAATAGCAAAAAGATTAGTCGACATCACAGGAGACCGAAGAGCTGGCAGCTACCTCGGACAAAGAATTAGTCTAGCTATCCAAAGGGGGAACGCTGCCAGTATCTTCGGAACCTTGCCTAAAGGGACTCCTTTTAATAATGTATTTTACTTATTATATTTTATTTTTTAAGGTTTTTAGTTTTAGGTTCATTGTTATAGTATAGTTTTTGTTTTAATTATTCTTAAATTTGTTCATATTGCACCATATTATTGTAGATTATACTTTCTTATTGTATTAAAGTATATTACATAAAGTGGTCAATATAACATCAGGAATTGTTAATGCGTCATGATTTGCTTCTCAATGCTTTACATGATTGGTAAAAAAAACCAAATGCTAGAAAAATACCAACACAAGTTAAAGCTAATTTTACATTTTACAAACTTCAAATCGCTCTACTGTAAAGTAGGGATTATGCAGAAGTAGCTTTATCCTATGAATAGGTAGATATATAAAACTCAAAGGTCGGAACGGGCTGAAATTTGGCATGCAGGTAGATGTTATGACATAGGTATCCTCTAAGAAAGGATTTTGATCAATTTTACCCCCAAGGGGATAAAATACCGAAGCAAAGCGAGAGCGGGCCACTAGTTGCTCAATATAAGTGACTAGCACTTTTTTTAAGGAAATCCAAGACAATAGAGAAAATACAAACATAGACCACAAAACATGTGGCTTGAAACTATTGTATAACAGGAAAGTCATTTCTTTATCCGCTATTAATGAACAAAATTTTGCCTTACTCCCATGTGAATGTAGCGAAGCGGCCAAGCCACATATTTGACTAAGAGTTTGTAAGGTAAGGCTTTGTAGAGTTAGGACGTGTGGTAGAGTGAGAAGCTTGGCTCTACATGAGATCTTATATTTTTTTTGACAGTGCGCGTCATAATTATGTTCTCCGTCTTGGCAACATTTTACATGAAATCTTTTTCGTTGGATTTTGTAATGTGAAAAAAGTAAAGGGGAATAGTAGATTGTTAACCGAGGGTGGAAAGAATCAATTCCCGAGGTATTTAGACGGCTATAGTATTAAATTGATTCTTTTCCCCGAGTTAAACACTTTACTTTTCATTTCGAATATGAGGAAAATAAAACTAGTTGATTATCAAAAATATTTATTCATAAATAGGTATATATATATATAGGTACAATAAAATTAGAAGTAGCTATTTAAAATTAATTGTCATATTAGGACAATTAGTGAAATTAAAATTACATTCTTGTTTGAAATGTTTATGCTGTTTGATATACTATTACAAATTTGGCTGTTTTGGATATCTGTTAAAGTACGAGACTCTGTTATTTCATCAAACGATGAATTCCATGGCGGATACTCCCTGCAAGTTTGAAGAAGAAGTGAAGAAGACAGGCCATTAAAATATGTAAGAAAAACTTTCGGAAAACGATTTTATATTCTTCATATTATATCCTCTTTTGACATTTCTGGCAAAAGATTCTCTATAACACAATTTGCTTCGTCTTTAATTGAATCCGGTGTCAACATTTCTGAATCGCTTAAACTCATTTTTAATATTCAAATTTAGATTACTCTGTTTTACTTACAAGATATTTTTTTATTCCATCACAGATACATAACAGTTTAGTATCCCGCCAATTTATGTATTTTTTTTAATTTAAATATGGAACAGCCTAATTGTTGCGGCTTATTCCGCTCAAAGAAGTTCGTGCTAAGTTCACACTGGCTGTTTAGAAACTCACATGGCATCACATTTTTTTTTACATAAAACTCTTCACACCTGACAGTAGTTCTATTTTTAAAGTTCATTCCGGCCCTTAGGCGGGAAGTAATTTGTATGAGTTTTTCCATCTCTAGGGAGGGTAGCAGCATTTTCCACCCAACAAACAGATCAAAACAACACCACTTTCCGAGAATGAGAAATGAAAAAGAGTTTTTTCATCCCACCACCTCGGAAAGTGTAATTTTGCGCTTCGAAATCTGGCTGGAAAATTCTATTTTATTCGCTTGAGCGGCAAAGTAGATTTGAATTTAGAACATCACATATAATGAGTACTCAATATAATTGTAAATTCAAAACGTCATTAAACCTATTTAATGTAACCTCTATGGTGCCAAATTTATGATTAGAACTTTTTAAATTGTGAAAAAATTTAAATTTGGAACCTTCTTGGTTTCTT